CAGACGAACTTTTTCTCAGCTCCAGGTGAACCGATTTTTGAAAGTGAATAGACGAATCGACAGCTCTTTTCCCGCGCTACAAGATGCCGACCACACCGCGCCGATGCGATACCCTCGTCCCGACTTATGAGGGTTTTTAAAATGAGATAGAAAATTTCGAAAATAAGCGATATTGAGATGGCTGAAAGTCTCTCAAAACGCATTCAAATGTCAAAATAGACGGGTTCATTGGAAAGCTCATCAAATTCTCTTCGATTTCAAAAAAAAAACGTCCGATTCGGTGGATTTTCTGAAAAGTAACAAACCTCCGAAAAAAGAAGACGAAGTTTTTAGGTGGCTCTATTATTTTGACCGCCACTGTATATTCTACGAGATATCCGGCAGGCGTCCCGTTTCATTACGTATCGGGGGAAATATCATCGGCGGTAAGGCGACCGTTCGGGACGGAGTGAGGGTCGAGGCGACTCAAACGCTGTGGCAAGGAAAAATAACACAAGATGACATGGCCATCGGTGCAATTTATAATATTAAGGGTCGGCTGCTGCGGTGCCCAGCGTTGTTCCCTCTGAGTGTGCGGGGCGGAATGCGTTTGACTTGAAGGGAGTTATTGGCTTCTGACGGCGCTGCGGGACGTTTTGGTTCTGATGTTCAAAGATTTTATCACGACCCGATTGTCGAAACCAGCTCTAATTCGAGTCAGGGGGCGCAATCAGATCAAGAACTAATATCAAGAAGCTCGAATTTTGATCTCATTAGAACAGCGAACGCCCACGGTCACGCCTGAGTGGCGCAGGACGGTGGCATGCGAGGTCCAGACGCAAAGAAAGAAACTCCATTCGACTTTTTGTTCTCGTCCTGATTTTTTTCATCACCGAGAATGAGCTCTTACACAAGAGGTCATGCCGAAGAGGGAGATGCCGAAGAGGGGAAGAGCGGAGAACCCGTCGACTCGGGCAGAGCGTTGTTGCATAATTCTCCAACAGGGATGGGATGGAACGCTCCCTTCACACCTCTCCTTGTTCGTTCATGCCCGACGATCAGGCAGCTCCCCATTCAGCCAGTCGCCGCTCGACTAAACGCAAGTCAAGCGGGGCCGTATCGGGAAGTTTTACGCAAAGGTTTCAACTTAATCCCTCCTTTAATAAGGATATAGGACCCCATCGAAAGCCTTTGAATTAGGCCTTCCGCCAAAACAGCGGAGAAACCTCTCAGGCAGTACAGCGGAGATTAGGATTCCCCCCCCCGGAGGATTTTTCCCGGAATACTTTTCCATGGCTTCAAATTCCCTCACCGCTTTCTGCATCTCGTATTTCCCGCGGAGTCGAACCGGAGGTATGCGCAGCTAAATCCCCTTCACGGTCTTCATCGACCTCGCTAAGCCTCCATCTCCTTCCCTCACAATGGGAGAAGGAGAGAAATGATAGGAGAGAAAATCACAACTCTTAACCATCAAGTCTCGAACGAGTCAATCATGCGATCTCACGCCAAATGATTATAACACGCCGAGTAATTATTATAATAATCCATGGAATACATGGAAACGAGTCCGGCTTCTGAAACCGGCTAGCGGGCAGTGGCTCGGCCGGCGGACAAGCAGGCTCCACTCGGCTTGTAATTAGTTTCCAAGCTGGATAGTTTCCGTATAGGCCCAGTTCGCCGGAAACCACGCCGACCAATGCTGGCTGGAAAGTTATTAATTCGGATATAGGAGTCCGTGCGCGCACCGCACACATATCGTCGGAGTTGTGTTTCCATGCAATGTTGCCTACCCC